TCCCAATTAATACTAACTTTGTAGAACTTTTTCTTTTTTTTTTTTTAAAGATTTTATTTATTTGAGAGAGAGGGAGAGAGAGAGAGCATGAACAGGAGGAGGGGCAGAGGGAGAGGGAGAAGCAGACTCCCTGCTGAGTGCAGAGCTCAATCCAGGGCTCTACCCCAGGATGCCAAGATCATGACCTGAGCTGAAGGCAGATGCTCAACCTGCTGAGCCACCTAGGTGCCCCTCAAACTTTTTATTATGGATGTTTTCAAATCTATGTAAAAGAACAGTATTATATACTTATAGGACCTCCGTAGGTGCCCTCATTCAGCCTCAATACTATTTACATTTGTTATCTCTTTTCAGCTGTGTAACCTACTACTTATTTTTTTCTTGGAATGGTTTATTTTAGTATTAGTATTATTTTTTTAAGTAGGCTCCCCACTCAGCATAGACCCCAATGCAGGGATCTATCTCACAACCCCAAGAGCAAGACCTGAGCTTAGATGAAGAGTCAGACATTTACCTGGCTGAGCCACCCAGGCATCCCTTTTCTTGGGATATATTAAAGCAAGTCATAAATACATATATATTAAATATCTGTAAAACATTATCTATAAATATTTTAGCATAAACGACGTTAACGTGGATGATGATGTTTTGCTGATCCTTGGTCACTGCTTCAGAGGGGAAGGTGGCAGTGGATGCTAGAGCCCCAGTGCTTCTGAACTGGGGTCCTTGTCCCCACGTGCTTTGGAGTCCCTCATTCTCCGGCCACTTTTCTCCGTGAAATGTTTGCTTAAAGAGCTCACTGTGACATCCTGTGGCCTTCACTTGGCAAGAATGTGTCATTTATTTAGTTCTCTCTGCTCTTTTCTCCTTGACCTCTCATTTCCTTTGATATAATCTCAAACGTAAGCATAAATGCACATTCTGAAATTCAGATTATTCAGATTCTTATGTTAATTTATGTTTCCTTATCAGGATGAAAACACCAAATAAAAAAAATCTTATCACAGATTCTCAGACCCTGTAATATTGGCATAACTTGAAACGTTTAAATAACTCTTGGATGCTGGTGAAAGTATTTGTGCTGGGAGCTGTATTAACTGGTATCGCCTTTCAGGAAGGCTGTTTATTCTGTCAAAACTGAAAATTTTGATCTAGTCGTTTTGAGAATGGCATCCTACAGATATTCTTGTGTACTTCTAAAAAAGGTAACATATACAAGCATGTCCACTGAAGAATGTTTCTGGAAAATATGTCAGTGCCCATGAGCTGTTAAACAGAAGATGTCCAAGAGACTCTATGAGTGAAGGAATTGAATGGCACAACAACATTTCTATCACGATCTGCGTTGTATGTGGAAAATAAAATTGCAAATGTTATCAAATTAGCATTGTGTTTGATTACTGGTAACAGACTAGAAATAGAAGTGCCTTAGTGAATACAGAAACTTACTTTTCTCTCCTCAGGGCAGCCTATTGGTAGCCAAACTACGGCTGGTATGTGGGTGCCCTGGTGTTATTGGGGACCTAGGCCTCTCTCTGTTCCACAAACCTAATGATTTCCATTCTCAGGGTTCCTTCTTGGTCCAGAATATCTATACTAGCCTTTGAGTCTTTATGGGAGTTAGAGTAAGGAGAGAGAGGCCGAATAGGACCCCTTCCCACTGATGAAGTCTCTCAGCAGCCTTCTTAGAAACCAGCACACCACTTAGGTTTATAATTATTGCTTAGAACTCAGTCATGTGGCTGCACTTAGGTAGAAAACCCCAGTGGCTTATTGGGGGTGGCGGTCAAGGTGTTGTTGCTAAGGAGGAAGGAATAATGGATGTTGGGTAGGTGTAGCATTGTCTGTCACCATATAAATATGCTCAGGTGTGATGACACAGAACACTTCTGAAAGACCCCATGAAAGCCTGTTACCAGCAGAGTGTTGGTAAGCTGTTACTTTCGGAGCTGAGCTTCTGCATTCTACCTCACCCCTGTCTGTACTGTTGGATGTTTCTTTCTTATGAGCACGTTTTACTTTTATAATTGTGGTCAAGAGAAACTCAACAGCCACAAAACCCCATGGTTTGTTAAGGAAAAATATTAGGGGCTAATGATACATCTATTTGACAGTCCATAGTGTGCCACAGTTTAATTGTTAATTTTTTTTAAGATTTTATTTATTAGAGAGAAAGAGATAGTGAGAGAGAGCAGGAATGGGGAGGAGGAGAGGGAGAAGCAGGCTCTCCATGAGCAGGGAGCCTGACATGGGGCTTGATCCCGGGACCCTGGGATCATGACCTGAGCTGAAGGCAAATGCTTAACTGACTGAGCCACCCAGGTGCTCGTAATTTTTAATGTTTCTTGGTGGCGAGAAAGTATCACTCCTTAGGAGTGAGCCCGAATTGTCCAGGCTTAGGAATGATTGTCCTGGAAGGAAGTGGGATGGATGTGTTTTGAGGTTTCTTTTTCTTTTCTTTTCTTTTCTTTTCTTTTCTTTTCTTTTCTTTTCTTTTCTTTTCTTTTCTTTTCTTTTCTTTTCTTTTCTTTTCTTTTCTTCTTTTCTTTTCTTCTTTCCTTTCCTTCCTTTCCTTTTCTTTCCTTTCCTTTCCTTTCCTTTCCTTTCCTTTCCTTTCCTTTCCTTTCCTTTCCTTCCTTCCTTTCCTCTTTCCCCTTCCTCCCTCCCTCCTCCTCCCTCCCTCCCTCCCTCCCTCCCTCCCTCCCTTCCTTCCTTCCTTCCTTCCTTCCTTCCTTCCTTCCTTCCTTCCTTCCTTCCTTCCTTCCTTTCCTATGTTATTGTTGTTGCTTTTTGGTTTGTTTTGAGATTTCTTATGACCTTTGTACTCTGTGACTTTTGCATTTGTGGAGGAAGACTGGCCTTGGTATGAATTCTCCATTCTCATGCCACCCAAGAGCACTCATTAAGAATGCTTAACTAGGGGCACCTGGGTGGCTCAGTGGTTGAGCATCTGCCTTCGGCTCAGGGCATGATCCCAGGGTCCTGGGATTGAGTCCCACATTGGGCTCCCCGCAGGGAGCCTGCTTCTCCCTCTGCCTATGTCTCTCTCATGAATAAATAAATAAAATATTTAAAAACCCCACAAAACTTAACTAATCATGGCCCCACTGTCACTGAGAAAAGTGACTCCTTTCTAAGGTATAACCACAGTGGGATAGTAGTGAAAAAATATAAAGCATGAAAGTATATGTTTTAACTGACATCTGTGTATTCACATATATTTATAGGGATTTATATAGGGTAACTTAAACGGATCCTCTGACCTTTATAAATAGCTATAAAATTTTATTGACTTGAGGGCTTTTGGAATCTATGCCTAACAGTCTTGCTGGGCAATGTTTTCTCATTTAGGTAATATGTTTTATATTTTTAATAGATCCATCGTTTCCTATGGCCCCATACTTAGTACAGGCTATTAACATGGTTTTCAGTTGTGCCATTTTGGAAAGGCAGTCTTTTGTACCTCTCTACCTGGCCTCTTTCAAACAAACTAATTTTAACCATTTGTTATATATATATATATATATATATATATATATATATATATATGTATGTATACACACACACACACACACACACACAGTACTCAGATGAGTCAAGAGTAACTTCATGTTCCTCCCCTTGCTCTTCACATAGTATTTATTGGGCATATATTAGCACATGGGTTTCATTTGTGTTATAGTTAAGAGAAATTGATATGTTTCTTACTTTATAGGAATTTAAAATGTGTAGTAAACAGTAGCAACATGGTCAAGGATAAATGAAGCAAAATGAACCCATTCTGGCTGGGGATCTCAACATTCTGATAAGCTTAGTAGTCGCGTGTGTGATTATGTACATGTGAAGGCTTGTATCCCTTTCTGTCCAGCTAGTTGTGCAAAATTTGCCTTCAGTTCTCAATCCCATACTTTATTTATTTAAAAGATTTTATTATTTATTTGTGAGAGACTCAGAGAGAGAGAGAGGCAGAGACACATGCAGAGGGGAGAAGCTGGCTCCCTGTGGAAAGCCTGATGTGGCTTTTGATCCCAGGACCCCAGGATCACAACCTGAGCTGAAGATAGATGCTCAGCCACCGAGCCACCCAGGCATCCCAGTCCCATACTTTTAGAGCTGGAAAAACCCACACTGAGCCTTTATGGTGGCTCTTACCCTTTTTTTGAATCATCAACCCTTTTGAGAATCTGGTAAAGATTGTGTGCCCTTCCCGGCAGGATGAATGAGTGCATCTATACACATGGTTTGCATATGTATTTATAGGGTTCCTGGACCATTGAAACCCATATATAGAGAAGCCCTGATCCTAATCAGCTTCTCATTTTTGTAGATGAGTAAATTGAGACCTAGAGACGTTTAGTGATTTCCTGAGGTGGTACAGCCAGCTCTTAATCTAATGCTTTTATACACATTTTCGAGACTCCAGCTGCGCTTTAGTATTTCTAAAATGCAGTGTGATGTGGCCAGCATTGTGTGGCATACCCTATGCCCTAGCAAAGAAAACACACTCTAGGAAAAATGTTCATCAATGAGAAGTATTAGAAGGTTGCAAAAGAGAACCGGTAAAAATTCCCTCAGCTCTTTGTGCAGGTTAAAGCCCTTTAATTCGAGTATCCTCGTCCCCTGAAAACGGGAGGGGAAAGAACATGGGAATGGGTTTTATATGCTCGGTGTGTGGCTGACCTCAGTCTGTGTGGGTGCGGGGGCTGCCGGGTTCAGCCCCCTACCTCCTCCCATGCCCAGTTGGGCCGTGGTACCGTCTGTCCTTCCTCGGGAGTGTCTAATACCTGTTGCAGACTGGATGTCGGGGATCAAACGAGTGCAGCCCAAGCTGTGGAGGGAACACGAACCTTGCAAAAAAATTTGCACTTGCAGTCACCCTGTGTTTTGTGTTTCTGATAGAATCAGGGGGGTCTGACTTTCTGTTTCCATCTTCTCTTACTTTGAGTGGCTGTAGTGTGGCACCATTAACTTTTTTTTTTTTCCCTCCTCTTCCTTGGCAGCATCTTCTGGGCGGTCTACAGCCAGCTTCTGTCCAGCTCTGGGTGTCCTTTGACAGGAAGCCGATGCGAGCAGCCCAGTTTGTTACAAGACATCCTATTAATGTGAGTGGGGTCTGCTTGGGGGTGGACAGAAGAGTTAGTTTCCACATGCAGGGGTCAGGGGAAGGGTGTTGCTGGGATATCCTTCTGGGTAGAGCCTTTTTAAAAAAATTTTTTTATTTGAATCTTCTTTATTTATTTTAATAAAAAAAATTTTTTTTAAAGTTCAATTTGCCAACATGCAGTGTAACACTCAGTGCTCATCATGTTGGGTAGGTCATTGATGGAGGCTCCCTGTGATCACTTTCTAGACAGTTCCATAGAGGGAACCATTAGGCTTTGGGCACCTTGGTCTGTTTTTTCCCTCTTCACTATTTGAAGTGCAGCTGAATGGGAGTCTTAATTTGCTTTATGTGGAGACAGACTGGCAGACAGGTTTGGGGCCAGAGTCAGTGGGCCCTCAGTGTGCTGTCACAAAGAAATGGAGAGCTGGTGACCATGAGTTATTCATGCAATACCTGCTCTGTTGCTTACAGGTGGCTAGATTCCAAAAGGGGATAAAAGCTGGGTCCCATCCTTTTAGAAACACATACGTTGGAGACACAGAGAAACAAGCAGAGGAGAAACCATATATATACATTCATGTCAAATGCTTAGCTACAGTATTGTGTGTTTGAGCGTAGAGATCAATGGGCAAGACAGTGTGGGCTGGGGTCATCAGAGAAGCCACCACAGGCAGGAGGTGGCATTTGAAGGCCTTGCCACTGGCAGTCGGTGTGCTGGAAGGTTGGTAGCTCATGGGGAGAACATTCTTGTCAGTTCTTTGCTTTTTATGGCTTCCACCTTTCTTTAGTACCTTAGAATGAAAGGAAAGGAAATGCACATTAATGGATATTATAATATATACTATTGATGGACCTCATGGGAAAAAGGAGATGTCATGAACCAAAACAAAGTTTTTAGGTCATTTGTGGGGTTTGGTGGTCCCCTCCTTGGGGCCCCATTTGCCAGTAAGCAGCTTGTTCCAGTTACAGGGCAGCCTCACCTCCTCCAAAAAGAAAATTGGCTAGGCTTTACCGAGATTTGGGAAGGTGTCTGCGGGCTCTGGGCCTGTCCCTGTCACTGGGACATTTGGAAGTCATTACTTCAGTGTGCATAGGGAAAAGTCCACTGTGCATGTGTGGTTTTTGACTTGTGTATATTTTGACTTTCGATTCCAAAGGAATATTACATCGCAGATGCCTCCGAGGACCAGGTGTTTGTATGCGTCAGTCATAGTAACAACCGCACCAACTTATACATCTCAGAGGCAGAGGGGCTGAAATTCTCCTTGTCCCTGGAGAACGTGCTCTATTACAGCCCAGGAGGGGCAGGCGGTGACACGTTGGTGAGGTAAGGAAACCATAAGTCCCTCCCTCGCTTTTACATCAGAGCAACCAGCACCCTCAGGATGGGTGTTTTTCAACATTAGCTGCACTTTTGGGTTCAACTGGCGAGTTTCCAGAATGCCCGCGGCTGGCTTGTGGCACAGCTTCAGCAATTGGGGGTGTGGTTGGGCTGTGAAGATTTTAAAAAGCCCTCCAGGTGATTTGGATGGGATGCCAAGGCTGAGCATGGCTGCTCTGGGTGACATTTGGAGTTACAGGCCCTGTGTCAGCCATTCCCTGGGTTCCTTTCCTTCAGTTATCTGGCTTGGGGTCTCTGAGCCGGTGGGAAAAGGCACTTGGACAGGGGTCAGCTCGGGGCAAGCTGGCATGGGGAGAGTGATGGCAGACTTGCCTCTAAGTAAGGCAGGTTAATTGACATTTTTTTTTTTCTTACTGTAATTGCAAATATTGCTCCGTGGGTGACCCTGTGACCCTTGGGAGCTGGAGTCCATTCATTCTCGCTTGTCATGCGACAAGCCAGTCTTCTGTGAGACGTCTGACTGTGATGAGGATCACTCTGCTCTTGCCAAGAGCCGTCTGGTGGAGCTGGCTGGTGCGCAGCGAGGCCTGGCTCTGAGGCCGTGACCACCAGGTCACAGAGCGTGACACTGCCGTCCAAGGTCTTTCGTCATGCTGGTGATTTATTCAGTCCCCATTTCTTTTGACAAGGACGCTGCTGCTCTGTGCCAGCCCTTGTTCCAGGCACAGCAATGAGATAATATGTCCAGCAATGAAAAGTCAAAACAGGGTCCTTATTCCATGGGGCTTTTGTTCTCATTGGGGGAAGACAGGACGGAAACAAATACGTAGTTTGCCTATTGGTGGCAAGGGCTGGGAGGCAGAGTGAACCAAGTTAAGAGGACAGGGGATTAAGAGCATGTCATTTATACAGGCTGGCCATGGAAGACTGTTCTACGACACTTGACATTTCAGTAGGTCCTGAGTCACGTGAGCAGGAAGAGGGAACAGCATGCTCATGCTCGGAGGGCCTGGGGAAGGGCACTGTGGCAGAGGGAACAGCATGCTCAGAGATTCTGAGGTTGGATATATTTTAGGAGTGGTGTAGAAGCCAGGGTGGCTCCAACAGCTGGAAGAGGAGAGAGAGAGAGAGAGAAAACATCCTCTAGGAGATAGGATCCAGGAGAGCAGGGCTCAGATTATATAAGGCCTTCAAGGGCATGGAAGAAATTTCCTTTTTTCCTTCTAAGCAGAATATGGAGGGTTTTGACCAGAAGATGGACATCATCTGATTTAACCTGTTACATTTTTTTTAACCATTTAAAAAAATTGTGACCCCACGTTACGTAAAGAACTTGAAACATAAATGGACAATATTACGAGTAGTTTCAGACGAATACTCAGGTGACCTGTCTTCTAAAGAAGCCAGGCTCAGTGCTGTGTGCAGAGTAGACTGCCGTGGGGCGTGAGAATGGAAGAAGCAGGGCGCCTGGCTGTGACAGTGCTGGAGACCCAGGCTGGCCTTGCTGTCGGCAGGGCCCAGGGCAGCAGCAGCAGAGATGACGGAAATGGGCAAATTCTGATCGTTTGCTGGTAGATTTGCTGCTTGGCTGTGGCGAGTCTGGGGTCCATGGCTGCTTGGGCTGAGCAGTGGGCAGAATGACGGCCGTGGGCTGAGTCTGGGCGTCAGGAGGTCAGGGGGAGCTGCGCGAGGAGCAGGTGTCCGGGGAAAGGGCAGGGCCTCGGGTTCGGACTCGCCAGCTTGGAGATGCCTGTGGGATCCCCAAGGGGAGAACTTTCTGGTCCCTGACAGTGCCTTTGCATGCCCTGTTTCGGCTCTTTCAGAGGTACGTCCTATTTTATGCCTCCCCACACCCCTGCCAGTATAGACTCATGAGTTATTTATTATTCAGTGTGAGTTAATGTGTTGTAAACCATTCCTACCATGATTCAGCCTCAGGTTTTTCTGGTTTGGTCAGTGGCAGCGTCTTTGGGCTGGCTCCTGTGTCTTTGCTTTTTGTTTGTTTGTTATTTTAAGTAATTTATTGGGGTGAAATTCACATGACATTAGCTGAGCCATTTTAAAGTGAACAGCCCGGTGGCATTTAGGGCATTCGTGGCGTTGTGCAAGCAACCACCAGCTTTAATCTATTTCCAAAACATTTTCACTTCCCCAAAAGAGAACCCCTTACCCACTAAGTAGTTTCTGGTCCCAGTCTGTCCTCCCTGCAGCCCCTGGCAGCCACTAATGTCCTTTCTGTCTCTGAGGATTTACCTTCTCCAGGTATACTGTGTAAACAGAATCATAGCATAATAAGTGACCTTTGGGTCGGTCTTGGAGCTTGCATAATGTGTTCAGGGTTCGTCCGTGTGTGTGTGTGTGAGTGCTTCATTCCTTTGTACTGGTGAATAATATTCTGCTTACTTTTTTTATAATTAGAATTATGAGCCATGATTCCTCAAGCCTTTCCCCGCCTCTGATTTTTCCCCCACCTTTGAGAGCCGTGGAGTGGATAAATCACAGCTTGCCAAAGGTTTCTGTATCCTCTGCGTTTGTCGGGTGTTCAGGATGGCTGTCTTGTGACAGGGCAGCCAGAAGTCTTGGAGAGAAGCTCCCCAGGAAGCAGGAAGCTCACTTATGTGACCATATGGCCCTCTCATGTATGCACACGGCCCTTTACGTGGTGATGAAGGTCGCTCGTGCTCGGCCCGAGCGCCCAATCCAGTTAGGAAACTGGAAAGAGATTTATGTCTACATTCACAGACCAGCATGGGCTCAGCCTTCTTCTTGTTTACTTCAGGCTTAATCTCAGGACTAGACATGCTCAGTTGTGCTCATTTGAGTGAACTTTTGTCACCTGCTTCTGCATCTCAGCAAGATGAGATAGGCTAAGGGTGAATTAGATTGCGTGGGCAGGCTGATTAAAAAAAAAAAAAAACCAAAAACCAAAAAAAACCACATAACACTTCTGTGTTATTTGAAATGAGTTGTTCTTTGAACTCAATAGGAAAGTGTGGTGCCAAGGAAGCAGTCCTAATTTACTTAGAGACCTGGAGTAGAATTCTTAACTGGGGGTGCCCCTGGCGTCGGTGAGATGTGCCGAGCAGAAATCTGGAAAGCAGTGTCTGGATGGAGGACCAGATGTGGGGATGAGGTGTTGGGCCCGGCGGGGCCGCTGCAAGGGGCGAGGCGGACGTGGGCTCTGCAGGAGGGTGGCCCAGGGGCCTGGGTGCACGGGCTAGTGGAAATGTAAGAAAATGGATGAAGAGAGGGTACCTAGGGTGAGATGAATCATCGCAGGGCCACCGGGGCACTGACCGGCATAGAAGACAGGTTTCTGCTTGGACCCAAAAGGCAGAAATCCAGGAGAGTGACAGTCAACCTGATGGTGGTGGCTTCATGATGATGGCATCTAACGCAGGGTTGCTGAGGTCAATAGAGAGAGCGGGTGGCTGACAGAGCTGCAACTGATTTCTAAAGAAGCAAAGAAAAATAACTCCAGGAGACCCGAGGAAACCGCATGTCAGAATGTTTGGTCTCATTGCCAGCATCTTATTTAGGATTTTTTTTTTTTTTTTTTTAGATTTTATTTATCTATTCATGAGAGACCCAGAGAGAGAGAGAGAGAGAGAGAGAGAGAGAGAGAGAGAGAGGTGGAGAGACACAGGCAGAGGGAGAAGTAGGCTCCCTTGGGGACCCTGATATGGAACTCGATCCCCAGACCCTGGGATCATGCCCTGAGCTGAAGGCAGGTGCTCAACCACGGAGCCACCCAGGCGTCCCTCAGTGCCAGCATTTGATTTGGGATTTTGCTCAGTCTCTCCATCTGAAGTAGCTTTGTCAGTGCTTTTTAAAAATTTTCTTTTTCTTCCTCAGAGCTTGTAGTGAGTGTGCTTCTGTCTGAACTCATCCAGCTCGAGATTTGTAGAGTAGATAATGGAAAAAAGCAGTTCTATGCTTTAATAAATTTTTTTAACCAAGTCTGGTGGCTCAGAACCCTTCTAAATAAAGGACACACTTCCAGTTTTGAAAACCACGTGGGAACTCTGGTTAGCACTTCTCAGAGAACCTGTTCCATCTGTGACGTGTGTACCATTTCGGGGCAAAGCTGCTTCCCAGTGAAATAGGTACCCTGGCATAGTAGTTAAGGCCCTGGGAAGGCCTCATTCTCTGCTTCATTGGTAACGAGTATAACCTCAAGCTTCTAGAACCTTCCTTGCTCTATGTATGGCTTCCTGGGGTCGGGGTTCTGCTGTGCATTCTGACAGGAACCCTATGGGCTTCTCCCTGAACAGGGTGTTGGATAATTAATTGTCAGCGTGTGGCCAGTGTCTGTGTATCCCTTAGCGCTGGATTTCTGCGGGTTGTAAGCCCTGGCGCTTTGATTGGTGTCTGGCAAGTCTGGCTTACTGTTTCCTGTTTGTCGAGGCTCACTGGAAGATTTGGGGTGAATCAGGGAAGAGATAGACGTGCCTCTCATCACGTCTGTGTGTTGTAGTCAGCATTCTGAACTCCCCATGAAGAGTTATTGATCTGATAAGCATCTTGACCTTCAAAGTTAAAACACAATCATGTTTAAAAATAAAAAGAGGGACGGGATGCCTGGGTGGCTTAGTGGTTGAGCTTCTGCCTTCGGCTCAGGGCGTGATCCTGGAGTCTTGGGATCAAGTCCCACGTCAGGCTCCCTGCATGGAGCCTGCTTCTCCCTCTGCCTGTATCTCTGCCTCTCTCTCTCTGTGTCTCTCATGAATAAATAAAATCTTAAAAAAAAAAAAAGGTTACTTATCTGTAAATAAGAATGAACTATTGATTTGTGCTACAGTATGGGTGAACCTTGGACACATTACGCTGTGCAAAAGTGACCATAAAAAGGCACACTTCCATGTATATGAAATACACAGACTAGGCCAATTCGTAGCCACAGAAAACTGAGTAGTGGTGGCCAGGGCCTGGGGTGGGCAGGGAAGAGGGGGGATGACTGCCAGTGGGTACTGGGTTTCTTCTTGAGATGATGAAAATGTTCTGGAACTAGATCGTGACGCCGGTACAACACAGCATTGTGAATGTACGTAATGCCACTGAATTCTGTACTTTAACACAGTTAAATTTTACGTTATTTATAATAAAAACATACCAAGGAAATATCAGTTCAGGTTCACAGCTGCTTATTTTCTCTTACTGTAGGTATTTTGCAAATGAGCCATTTGCTGACTTCCACCGTGTGGAGGGGTTACAAGGAGTCTATATCGCTACTCTGATTAACGGTTCGATGAATGAGGAGAACATGCGATCAGTCATCACCTTTGACAAAGGGGGTACCTGGGAGTTCCTTCAGGCTCCAGCCTTCACGGGATATGGAGAAAAAATCAACTGTGAGGTACAGATGCTTTCATCTCGTTTGGGCTTTTCATATGAATTTTTAATCCGTGGTGCACCCTTCACGGTTCCCAAACTCAGCACCAGGGCAGCTAGGGGTGCCGTAGTTCACTCCCAGTGAACTCTGGGATGTTTTAAACTTTTGAGAGAAACATAAGATACTTGATATTTGTCAGTCATCATGTGAAGTACCATCTTGAGTTTCGTTCCTAGTTTCCACATTAGTTCGTGCTTTGGAAGGCATCAAACTGTTGGGAAGCTGAATTTTCTAGCAGTTGACGTGATAAAAAGCAAGTGAGAAAATCCCAGTGGGATGGGAAGTGACAGTGGTGGGATCTGAGATGATTCTAAACTTTGAGAAAGTGTGTAGTACTCAGCAGGTGCAGACATCCGGTATTAAGTAACTGTGGTTATTTAAGAGTGAAATAAAAATTTTGTTTTCTCTGTGTGTGTATATGTGTGTATGCGTGTGTATATGCACACATACTGTTATTTTGAACTGACATTAAGTTATTAGGACATGTACACTTATTAAATTGTTTGGTCTTAACTGTAAAAAAAACAAAACAAATGTGGGTACGTCTTCTGGTCTGAGGCTGCTATAAAAAATTTACAGGGACGCTAATTGTGTTGCAAACCAAGACAGCTTGGGAAACTCTGTTGTAGATTTTTAATTTCTGCAGAACTTTCAAAAAAGTGCCTTCCTGAATATAATTTAGGATTCTACAATTTTCCCAATCTGTGGCTCCATCTGAAATGCTAAGAATACAAAAATGTATTATTTGGCCTCAGTAAGTGTTCCTACTCTCCTGAGCAGCCCTGTTCTTGTCCCTCGGAAGAACATCCTGTGGATTGAGTTCCTTGGCTTTATGTGACACCCCACACCTCCGTTTTTGTCTCACCTAAGGGGTCTGGGGTATATAAAGTAGGTAGGCAGAAGGAACTCAGAAAAAAAAATCAAGTAGTAGTAACTTGGGGAAAACTAACATTTAGTTAGTTACCTGGTCTGGGATTTTTGAATTTTGTTTGTCCATGATTAAGTATGTTGACTCTATGCTGTATCTGTGATCACTAAGAAAATTTTTTTGGAAACTCTTGTTCTCCACTGACTTCTTGATTCCTCCTCTCTATTTGGCAGCAGGTCTTGCCTTCGTACATGAAGTCTAACTTTGGAGAGGCAAGATATAAGTAGATAGAGACAGATATATAGGTGTTTCTTTATTCAGGACTGACTTCTAGATTTTGGGAGCTCTACACCAACCTGTGTAGATGGGGGTGGCCTGCTTTTGAGTGTGCTGTAGGGTCTGAGCCTACCACATTAATGGTATTGTTAAAACTCTGCTTATTCCCCTGACTGACCCATTTATCTACGAACCATACAAGTTGGTGGGCTTTTAGTTTCTACCTGTGATTTTAGGTGGTGAAAGAACAGGTTAGTTGGCAAATATTTGAGACCCAACCTAATCTGCTCCAGTTTTCATTTGCTAAGCAGTGTTACTAGCAAGATGGACATTTCCTAGAGAGATCCTTTTGTTATAAAAGTAAGTAGACGTAGCCGACCAGGTTCCCAGGTAAAAACCTGTTAACATAAGCACACAGACCTACCCTGCCTAGAACACCAGACGAGGCTGAGTAACATTTGACAATCACATTCTGGCCAAGAGATGTTGGTGTGACCATACAGCGAATAACTCTGCAGAACTGTTAAAATCGGAACGCCAGTGGCGGAGGCCGGTTCGAATAACTTGTTTTGCAGCGGACACTGTAGAGTTGGTTCTTTGTACAAATGCTGACTACTTAAAAACTGTTGTAATGTGGATCCCTTGGTGTTTATAGCTCATATGTTGTACGTCTGGGAGCTTATCAGTGAGACTTCATGACCTCTGATTCTTGATTTTTCCCTCTGATGGAATTGCTTAAATCACATTTGAAATATATCTCTACGGACTTAAAAAAAAAAAAAAGTCCCATCAAATAATTTCATTTCTCTTTAAACAGAGGGAGGGGTAGCTTTCGATCTACTCGAGTTGACACTGATGCCTAAGTGCTATCCTCTGCGAGCCTTAGGAAGAAGTTTTTTATTCACATTTTTCTCTTTTCTTCAGTGAGAGGCATTTATGTGGTTCAGGTAATCCCATCCACCTGGGGATGCGTGGGAGACCCCTGGGCTGTGAGTCTCGTTTCCTTTGGGCCAGATTTCCTTTCTCGGTGTGTGGCTGCACTGTCTGCACACAGGCCCCAGTGTTTTGAGGGAGCTGGAGGCATCGTGTCACGTGCTGACAGGGTCTGGAACTTGTGTCCTGTAGCTCTCCCAGGGCTGTTCCCTCCACCTGGCCCAGCGGCTCAGTCAGCTGCTCAACCTCCAGCTTCGGAGGATGCCCATCCTGTCCAAGGAGTCCGCTCCTGGTCTCATCATTGCCACTGGTAAGTCTGCTTTGCTCGTCCCCGTTCAGGGGTTAAGCATTTCTGTTATGCGAAAGCCAACTAGGCGGTGACCACTGACATCTGCTGTAGCAGCTGCTCTTTGTGGTTTTGAGACATTTTTGGTGGCTAAATACTACTCAGAATTTCTGGTTGGGCAAGGTGAGCGTCTGACATATTCTTGAAATTAAAAGTAATTATGCCTCTTGCATTTTAGGTTCAGTGGGAAAGAACTTGGCAAGCAAGACGAACGTGTACATCTCTAGCAGTGCCGGAGCCCGGTGGCGAGAGGTCAGCTCCCCACCCCCACCCCTCACCCCCACCCCTAGCTCCCGGGCCTCAGCCCCCAACCCAGGTTCTGCTTTATTGGAGAACACAGTTGTGCCTGCACATTTCAGGAACACGTGTGGCTGGTGGTGGAGGCCAGTGGTGCCAAGTATGACTATAAAATAGAAAGAGGTACCCAGAGCCACACATGAGCATCAGCTGCACTGATTTGTGTTCGCACCTTGTAATGTGGGCTCGTGAGTTTGCCAAAAATATTACTTTGAATCAAAAACAGACCTTTTCTTCCCCCTACGTCTGTAACTTTAACTAAATGTTCCAAGAGGACAAAGCAATGTCTCTTTTGCTTACCTCTTTACCCCTAGGACCTAGCAGTGCCTGGTTATGGAGTGGGTGCCCCTTAAATCAGCAAATGACAGTGTGGCCGTAGTGGTGTCTGGTGTGAAGTTGGCTGTGTATTGTCGTATCGTTTTGAAATAGAAGTCAAGCCCTCTCCTCAGTGGGGCTGTGGTGGGCAGGCACTTTGTTTCCCTCTCCGCTATGGAAAGAAGATGTTTTTGCCTTGAGTCTGTAGAACTACTTTGGATCCTTGGCACTGCTGATACCAGTCCTGAAAGTTGAGCTAGTTTCGTAGTCCCCAAATGCTAAATCAGCCTCAGACATTAGAGGATTGCCAAACTTGTAAAAAAGAAAAAAAAAACGCTTTCACCAGCCTCCCGTGAATTACGAAGGCCAAGGAAAGAAGTACATCTGGTCTCCTTCTGTAGGGGTTGCTTACAGGGGTGCTCTGCTGTGTGTGCGGGGAGCCCACAGGAGCACTCAGTAGATCACGGGACAGGAATTTAATTGAGCGCTTCCTGTAGGCGGAGCATGATGTCAGGAGGGATTTGGAGTTCTCAGAAGAGCCAGCCAACCTCCCATCCTCATGATGCTGCTTACTGGGGACGCGATATGTACACGTTTGTATTTAAATACATACTATGCAAAGCATTAATGACACCCAGTGTTTGTTTGGCTCTGTGCAGTTTATAGAAACCTATCACATATCTCACCTCCTAGGAGGAGGGCTTACCATCATCCCTCAGGTGAGGGATCTGGGCCCCAGACATTATGTGTGCGCATTCATTAAGAACAGTCCAGCATGGTAGAGGACACAGGTATTTGGATGAAAGATGTCAAGGCCCAATTGTCAAAAAGGGTGAACAGTTTGGAGTTTGGGGGGCATCCTTGCTGTGCTCCCCTGGGAAGGATTAAGCAGCTGCTTTCCTCTTCATAGGAGCCAGACATTCCTTTTGAAATTGGGTGTTCTCTCCTAGGCAGATAGGCTTGTGGTTTGTTTGGACCTTCTGATGTTGGTGTAATCTGGGATTTGAGCACTTGCAAGTGATTTCCTTCTGGGTAGAAAGCAGTGTCTTGTTCCTCCACTGGTGAAGTGGTGTGGTCTGGCTAATGCTGGGGCAGCTGTCATTGCCTCCCGCCAGGCACGCTTCACACCTGCCAAGACACAGCCGTCATACAAGGGACCCTATTTTTGGGAAGAGCAGAGAGCTAAGTAGGGGAGGGGAAGGTTGAGACCGTGTCTGTGGGAGTGGGCACCTGAGTCCCTGTGGGTGGCAGTCACATGAGAGGGACAGCCTACGGGATATCAGGACAGCCTGATGTGAGGGGCATTAGGGGTGGCAGGAGATAGGATAGGATACAGTGGACAAGGCTGTCTAGAAAATTGGTGAGTAGAATTCTTGTTCCCTTTCCACGACTGATCAGTGGTGCAAATTCTCTGATCCTGAGTTCCTTTTCTGCACTTTCTTCCTTAACTTTACTGAGGCATGTGGAAGCAGAGTGAACTCTGCATATCTAAAAGGTACAGTTGGATCAGAAGTGGTCACCATTGCTACACTGTTGCCAACACCACAATGAAGATGGCAACCATTTCCATCACTCCCCAAAGTATCTTCCTTCCCCCTTGTAATCCATCCTTCTCTTTACCTGGTCCCTGCCAGATATTAGTTGGCATTTTCTAGCATTTTATATAAATGGACTTCATACACAGTCTTTTTGCCTGGCCTCTGTCCCTCATCATGGTGATTTTGAGGTTCATCCATGCTGGTTTTGTGTATCAGTGGTTCTTTTCCAATTTATTATTGATTGGTATCCCATTGTAGGGATATCTCACAATTTGTTTATCCACTCATCTGTCGATGGACATTACAGTTTTTGCTGATTGTAAGTAGAGCTGTTATAAACACTTAATCACATGATTTTTTTTAGATGGACACATATTTTTACTTCTTTTCGGTGGATACCTTAGAACAGAATGACTGGACAGCTTGGTGGGTCTGTGTTTAACTTTTTAAGGAATTACCGAATTGTTTTCCAAAATGAATGTACCGTTTTACATTTCTACCAGCAGTGTGTGAAAGTTCTAATCGCTTCCGGTCCACACCAACACTTGGTATGGTCAGTCTTCTTTTAATTTTAGACATTTTAATGAGTACACAGTGAGATCTTATTATGGCTTTAATTGGCACTTTCTTGGTGTCTAATGAAGTAGAGCTTCTTTTCATGTGCTCATTGGCCGTTTAAAAATCATTTTTTGAAGTGTTTAAGTCTTGTGCTTATTTTTTGTAAAAAAAAGTTGAGTGTTTGCCTTCTCATTGAGCTGTAAGAGATTTTTTTGAAAAATGTATTCTGAATTCTTTTGTTAACATATGTGTCATGAGTATTTTCCATGGCCTGGCTTGTTTTCTTAATGGTGTCTTTCAAGAGTAAATATTCTAAATTTTGCTGAAATCTGATTATCAGTTTTTTTCTTCTATGTTTTATGCCCTTTATTGTTCTAAAAAATATTTGCCCCTCCCAACGCTGCAAAGATTTACCCCTGAGCTTCACAGTGTCAGGCTGTAGTGTAGGTTTATGATCCATTTTTTTTTTTTTTGGTTTATGATCCATTTTGAGTTGATTTTTATATCTGATGTGATCGAAAGACTGATACTCATTTTTCCATATGGAGATTCAATGATCCAGCCCCACTTACTGAAAAAGACTTCCCCCATTGAGTGCCTATTTGAAAATCAATTGGCCAGATATGTGTGGGTCTAGTTTAGGACTTTCTATTCTGCTCTGTTCATCTATTTGTCTTTTCACCTGTACCAAACTGTCTTGATTATGGGAGACTTAGATTAAGTGCTGGAATCAAGTAGGTAAGTCCTCCAACTTTTTTCGTCTTAAAAATTTCTTTCACTATCCTAGATTCTTTGTATTTCCACAACATTTTTAGAATCAGCTTGTCAGTTTCTACAAAACCTGCTAGGATTTTTTGACTGGGATTACATTGAACTTATAGGTCGATTTTGGGAAAATTGACATTTTAGCACTATGGAGTCTTCTGGTCCATGGATGTAGTGTGTTTCTCCATTTCTTTTTAAGTCTCACTGAGTGATATTTTATAGATTTTGATGTGGAGGTCTGTATATCTTTTGTTAGTTTCATTTCTAAGTATTTTTAAATTTTTTGGTATTCCTGTAAATAGAATTTTCTTTCAAGTTTCCTTTCCAATTTTTGCTATCGTATGTAAGAATACAGTTGATTTTTACATATTAACCTTGGATTCTGCAACCTTGCTAAAATAATAAATAATAAAATGTTAGTAGTTTTGTAGACTCAAAGAGATTCATATCATCTGCAAATAGGGACCGTTGTATTTCTTCCTTTCTGATCTTTATGTCTCCTATTTCCCTTCTTCTCTTCCTTCTCTTCTCTAATAGGTAATAATATGGCAATATGTAATATGGTGTATTATTGTTTTTAAAAAACAGCCCTCTTTTCCTTTATTCTCAGAACATTTTTGATTCCAAATGTTGAGGGAGGTTCCCCTCACAGTGAGCAATTCTCCAATTCTCTGGACACTAATTGGATGTCCTTTATTTTGGTTGTGACTGACTAGCTGACGTTAGCATAGACCTCACAGTTTAGGGGCTGGGTCTCATAAGACTACCCCACCCCTTAGGATACTTCGGTGGCTCAGTGATTGAGCATCTGCCTTCAGCTCAAGATGTGATCCCTGGGTCCTGGGATCGAGTCCCACATCAGGCTCCCCTCTGCCTATGTTTCTGCCTCTCTCTCTGTGTCTCTCATGAATAAATAAATAAAATCTTAAAAAAAAAAAAAGACTGCCCACCCCACCCCACTTCACATGGTCATTGTAAGTCCCAGGTTGTCACCTATACTTCTCACTGACCAGCTTATAAGTAGGGGGTTCACATGACCCCCTTCTTGGGTTCAGCAGTTTGCTAGAATGGCTGATAGAACTCATCGAAATATTTACTTACCTCCGCCAGTTTATTATAGAGAATATTATAAAGGCTGCAGCTGGATGTGGTACATAGGGCAAGGTCTGGAAGGATCCTAAGTACAGGAACTTTTGTCCTCATGGAGTTGAGATGTGCCAACCTCCCAGCATGTGGGTGTGTTCACTAACCTGGGAGCTCTTCTAATCTTAGCTTAGGGATTTTTTTTTTTTCAGTGGAGGCTCCATCACTTAAACACTCCCTCTCCAGCCCCTGTCCTTTCCCCAGACGATGAGGCAAGGCTGGAAGTTTCTAATCATGCTTAGTCTTTTTGGTTACCAGCCTCTGTGCTGGCCAGGAGTCCACCAACATTTGCCTCATTACAACAAAAGACTCTCCTGTCATCCTGGAAGTTCTGAGGGATATAGGAGCTCTGTGTAAGATACACATCACCCCCACCAGTCAGGATATTACAAGGGATTTAGGAGTTCTGACCAGGAGCTGGGAACAAAAACCAAAATACCACTTACTCTCTTATCACACTGTCACGTATATAGTCTGATACATTACATTGATTGATTTTTGACTGTTTTACTAACCTTGAATTCCGGGGTAAACCCTATTTAACATGGATTTATTATCCTTTTTATACCAGATTAGGTTTGAGATGCTAATAGTTTGTTAAAGATTTTTACCTCTTTTTTTTTTTTTTTTTTTTTT